CTCAGATTCTCCAGCATCTGCATTTCCTACTATCTCTGAAACGATGATGGCCTGATGTCTTCTATACGGAAATGTAATTATCACTACAATAATAAGTTATAACAGACGTTTTTTACGCTAGATTTTCAGACTTATTTGTTTAATGAAACATTCATATCTCCGCTTAAAGATGGCGCACTGTGTGTTCTGCTACATCTCTCACGCACTCCGCAATACTCACAAATTCCGAGTGGTGGTCAAGATATTGTTTAGCTCCAAAAGCACAGCGGTTCTTTGTTCATTCAGTTGTGACTCTGAGTCCATATCCCTCTAGTCTCGATAATAACCTAGTTCCCTGATCCCGGTCTCTGCGGCACCTTCTACAGGCCCACGCACTGACAACAAGCGCACCGCTACCCTCGGTGCATGATGGGAATGGTAGTCCCACAGCTCTCGCTTCATCCTCGAGAACTACAATTCCCATCATACCGTGCAAACCATCTCCATGGCAGCAACCGGCAAGCCTGCCAAGCGACGGTGATGAGCAGTTGCTCCGACGAATTAAGAGCCGAGGAATTGGTTTACTCCAATCAGGATGAGGGAGAAGACGGGATTTTTTTGTTGCTCGGCCAGTTGGCACGCTAAATGCGCGCTCAATATTGCATATTACTGTAGGCAATGGCGGGCCGGATAGAGGGATATTGAGTTGTTGTGTAAACCTTCTGCTTGCCCGCCTTGTGGGATGGTTAGTACCGCTTCTCTGCTGTGTACTGTTGTTTGGGATTCCCACCGGTCAACTGGTGCTGTGTGCCGGTACGGACGCTCGCCCACCTTGAATTAAATGTTTATTCAGCCAGGCTGATCATAGAGGCACAGGAGTTTGAGGTGTGCAGCCATACAAAACAGATAGGAACCCCGCCTGCGCTTGGAGATCATGGCAATTCCAGAGCAAGGCAGTAAATCGGGATTCGTCATCCGGATAGCTCACATCAATATGGCTCTATATTCCAATTGCTTCTGGATCCAGACTGGGGTCATGCTTGTGAGTAGTAACCTGCCTTTTACTGATAACTGATAAGTTAAAATGCAGTCGAGTGCCCTCGATTGCGCAATGCTCGGAGCTTGTCACTAAGAACGACAATTTAAAGAGTCTGCTGAATCATGAAACATTAGAATTGCCTTGTGTGGTTTCATTATAAACTTCCTCGTCTTTAATGTTTCATGATTGAACGGACTGTCTAAGCTGCAAAGAATTTAATAAAGTTTTTAAACATGGGCACTCATCGTTGCGCGAGCAGGAAGTACCACGAAGTTTATTGAGTAATGCATCAAGAGGTGATTGAAACTTACGTAATAGTGCAGTAAGCCAAGCTGTTCGACCTATCGTTCTTGAACCGGCTCTTTGAAGCAACTATCCAAGTGAACACACTCCTCCCCACTCCTGTTTTATTTTCTTACCACACAGTTTTCCCTCTCCCCGTAACTGCACCTTGTAAGTTATTATTAATCTGCACATTATTCCAAACAAGGCATTCCAGGTCTTAACAATTGTTATACAACGTGGGAGGAAATTATTGCTAAAAATGCTGGAGATCACAGCCGGTCAGGCAGCATCAGAACGTTAGTTTGCTATCTCTCCATGAATTCTGCCTGACCGGCTGTGATCTCCAGTATTCTTTTTTTTTTGTTTTCAGTAACAATTGTTAACTTGGTTGAAAAGAAATCTCAGTTCTATAAGAAAATTAAAAAGAAAATTAGCGGATGTTGAAACAAAAACTTGCTGGACAAACTCGGGTCTTTTTTCTCCACAGATGCTGCCAGACCTACTGAGTTTGTACGGCAATTTCTTTGCTTCCTTCAGTGCTCCTTTTGGTTCTTTTGCCGATTGCCATGCCCTCCTTGAGAATTTCGCTGTGATTTCTGAGATTTATTTTATTGTAAGTTTTTATACTGCCAACGTTAGGCCGATGGGCTCTCGCATTGCAGGTCTATTCCCTTCCCATATTTTGACTAATGACGTAATTTTTTAACATCCCCGTCTTCTCGCACGTTCTCCATACCCAAGGAAAATTGGAATATTCTGGTGAGAACCTCTGCAAGTTCTATTTTGTTTCTTTCAGTTGCCTGCAGTATAAACAGGAGCGAAAGTAGCCCAATCAGCCTCTTGAGCCAGCTCTATCATGTAATAAGATCATGGTTGATTTGACTGTAATCTTAAATCTACATTCCAGCCTATCCCTGATAGTCTTTCACCCTCTTGCCAACAAGAATCTACCTACCTCTGGCTTAAAAATCTTTAAGGACTCTGCTTCCATTGCCACTCCAAAGACTGGTGACTCTGGGGAAAAAAATGCTTCATCTGTTTTAACTGATCTCCTGTGTTTAAACAGTGACTCCTAGTTTTAGATTCTCCCACCAGAAGAAACATCTCTACCTCTGGTTAATATTAGGAGGCCTGTACAACAATCTCACAAGTGACTTCTTGCCTTTACCATCCTTCATCTCTACCCAAATGATTTTCACATCCTGGTTTCTTAAAATTGGTCATTCCTGTCTATTGCGTTAATACCATCATTAGCTAACAGAGATACCAATCTTGCAGCCATCTCTCTGGCTGTCAGGTTGTACCTATTTTGTGTGCATTTGCAGTTCAGTTTCTGTTTATTTCTTGCAAACTGTGTGCATCAGATACCGTGTGTTTAGTTTTATGCATGTTTCTAATCTCTAGCCTTATCTGTTAATTCACTGTTAGATTTGTAGTCTCTACCACTTCTTGAAGAAGTCTATTTATCCTTTCTAAAACTAATATCATTTTTGCGTCGTCTATTCATTGATTTAGATATACCCAAATTTAATCCCTTCTTCGTGCTTTTTAAGCACAAATTACTCTACTTCCCTAGTTATATGGCTCGAATAATATCGACCCAGTATATGGTTCAGGTGGATACTGACCCAGCAGTGCTGATACTACTTTCCCCAATATTGATGCCAGCTTCCCATGGACTGGAACCCACTTGTCTGACATCACTCTGAGCCATGCATTCATCTTCTAATCTGATTTGTCCTGTACCACTTTGTATGAGGTTAAGGTAATTCAGATCATCAGATCCCTAGACAAAATGACTTTTCTGAAACAAAAACATAAACCGAACTAACTGGAGAAACTCCATAGGTTTGGCAGGATCTGCTGAGAGAGAGGCACAGTTAATGTTTCAGGTCCAATGACCATTGATCGGACCAATTTGTTCTAAAGAAGGGTCACTGGACCTGAAAAGTTGACTGCTTTTTTCCTCCAGAGATGCTGCCTGACCTACTGAGTTTCTCCAGCTATTTCTGTTGTTCACCACCAAGATGACTTTTCTCCTTTGAGTACTGCCAACATTTTAGTACTTCTATTCTATCTACTTCTCTACTACCTCCACCTTTGACATCAATAGTACTATTTGTGAAGACAGATGGAAAGTATTCTGATTTCTGAAGAAGGGTCCTGAACTGAAATGTCAACTGTCCTGCTCTTGTGATGCAGCCTGGCCTGCTGAGTTCCTCCAGCTCCACAGTGTTATCTCTGACTCCAGCATCTGCAGTTTTTCTGAAGAAGGGTCTAGGCCCAAAACATCAGCCTTCCTGCTCCTCTGATGCTGCTTGGCCTGCTGTGTTCATCCAGCTCTACACCTTGTTATCTCTACTTTAAAGCTAGCCTGTGTATCATAAAGCCGGGGAGGCGATGGCCTAGTGGTATTATCGCTGGACTGTTAATCCAGAGACCCAGAAAACGTTCCGAATCCTGCCACCGCAGATGTTGGAATTTGAATTCAATAAATATCTGAAATTAAGAATCTAATGATGACCATGAATCCATTGTAAATTGTCAGGAAAAGCCCTTCTGGTAATGTCCTTTAGGGAAGGAAACTGCCTTACCTGGTCTGGCCTACATGTGACTCCCGGCCCACAGCAAAGTGATTGACGCTTAACTGCCCTCTGGGCAATAAATGCTGCCTAGCCAGTGACACCTTCATCCTGTGAATGAATAAAGAAAAAAACACCTCTTCAATTGGCAGAGAAGAATGTGAGATGAAGAAAGACACCTTAGTAATTGCATAACAGGACAGAGAGAAATTCTGTGTTTTCAAATATGACACTGGAGACCTTATTACTGGAGACTGAACTGTGAGATATTGAGGAGACAGTGAAAACAGTCCTGCAGAAGGCTCACTGGACTCAAAACATTAACTGTTTTTCTCTCTACAGATGCTGCAGACCTGCTGAGTTTCTTCAGTATTTTCTGTTCTTGTAACTGCAGAAGCAGTGAGAGTGGACAGGCATGAAAGTCAATGCCAAGAGTTTGACACCAAGCATTTGTATACAGTTCTGAAAGTCAAATAACTTGCATACATGGTCAAAGGTAGTGGGGCAAAAATATTTTTATTAAACTGTTCAGACATATAATATGGCTTCAAGGCAGGTGGGACTTGAAACTAGACCTTTGGCCACAATGCATCTTCAAATGTCATATCTAATTAATAGTACTGCCAAACTGTCTGCCTATGCAATGCACAACATGATAATTACATAGTTAACAGACAGGCATTCATGTGTTTCCTCTCCCCACAATGCACCCACACCTCAGTTCTTATATACTGTCAGCTATGAAAAGCATGTTACCTAAACACTCAGACACTTTGCTGTCTCTTACAGAGAAAGCTGACCCCTGATAGACAGCAATAGCAGAAAAACCAGTAGAGATGGATATGGTTGCATGTGATGACCCCCATGGGGGGAAGACTGGGGATAATTGAAGATCCATCACTGAGTCCCTAGCCAGTGGTGTTATTGAAGCATTACTATCATACTTTGTTTGATTCCTCATGATATTACTGAAATCACATCAGATTGCAGAACAATGAAGTTAGTTATGAGCTGCAAATGATGTGGCAATGCACCTCGTGTTTTCCCGCCACCACCAACTCCCACACCTGCTTTACACTAAAACTTTCCCTTGTGTGTTTATGCTTTCAGATAGCCCAGAACTGCTACAGTTTTGAATAGAGATGTCACATTGGCATTTTTCCAATCCTCTGGTACTTGTCCGGAATCCACGGATTTTTGGGATTTATAAATGCATCTACTATCTCTGTAGCTGTCTCTTTTAGGATCCTAGGAGGCAAGCCATCAGAGCCAGGGGACTTACTTGTCTTTTAGCCCCATTAGTTAGTCTAATACTACTTTAGTGATGGTACTTGATTCCTCCCCAGTACTCTTTAGTGTTAACGGGATGTTCAAAGTATCTTCCACTGTATAGACTGTTGCAAAATATACGCTTAACTCCTCTGCCATTTTCATACTTTCCCATAACAATCTTCCGAGATTCATCTTCTAAGGGGCCTATGTTTACTTACAGTTCTCTTCCTTTTTATATATCTAAAAAAGTTCTGTTGTTACTTTTGATATTCCTCACTAGTTTGCCCTTGTTGCTTATTTTCTCTTTTTATGATCTGTTTAGTCCTTCTTTGCTGGGCTCTGGATTGATCACAGTCTTGGGGGCTATCACTGACTTTTGTCTCCTTTTATGTTGTTTCTTTCAGGGATGTATTTTTGCTGAGAGTCATGAATTACTTATTAAGTATCTGGCACTGCTTGCTTACTGTCATTCCTGCTAATCTATCCGCCTTGTTCACTTAGGCTAATTCTATCCTGATTTCATTGTAGTTCCCTTTACAGAGTCATAGAAATATACAGCTTGGAAACAGACCCTTTGGTCCAACTTATCCATGCTGACCAGGTATCCTAAGTTAATCTACTCCCATTTGCCAGCATTTGGCCCATATCCCTCTAAAACATCCCCATCCATGTATACACCCGGATGTTGCAATTGTACTAGCCTCTACCGCTTCCTCTGGCAGTTCATTCCATATACGCACCACCCTCTGCATGATAAAGTTACCCCTTAGGTCCCTTTAAATCTTTCATCTCTCACCTTAAACATATGCCCATTAGTTTTGAACTCCCCTACCCCGCGAAAGAGATCTTTTGGCTATTCACCTT